AGCATGGGAATAGTGGGTTTGAGGTCATAGATGACGTTGCAAGACCCTTTCAGCAAAACCAAGAGGGAGAAGGAGAGGGAGACAGAATGGATCCCAGATGCCTCCATGTCAAAATTCATTTTGATTACAAAACGTATTCTAAGGACAGGTACGATGCTTTATAATATAAAATGCAGTTGACTTTGGTCTCTTTTGAGTAGAGTAATTTAAGTTTATAGTGAATAAGCGTCAGAGACCACCCTACTCCCTTCAGGTAAAAAAGAGATGTGTTGAGTAGAATGTAGTTAAGTTAGAAGGCTCTTGCACGGACCCCCTATTTTGTTATTCTGTCGTTTTCAGTGAATCTAGAGGCCCTGCACTGGCCCACTATTCTTTTGTTGTTGTTGAGTTTTGAAGTTGTATTTTAATGACATTTCTCCCTTCCCTTTTCTCCCCCTAAAACCTACCATCTACTTTTTCCCACTCTCTTTCAAAGTCATGGCCTCCCTCCATTGTTACAAAGTGCATATATGTATTTATGTATGTATGCATATATATATATGTGTGTGTGTGTGTGTGTGTGTGTGTGTGTGTGTGTGTGTATATATATATTTGTAGTGCATATATATTCCTAAATGTAACCTGCTCAGTCAAAATAACGTTATTTGTACGTATGTTTTCAGGGCTGACCATTTGGCAGCGAACAACCAATTGGTGTACTCTTCCCTGACAATGGCCACTTCTCACACTTCCAGTTGTTTATGTAGGGTCGAGAGCTTGTGGACTTGTTTTAATGCAGTTTGGTCTGTTCATTGATGGCCTCCTTGTTCAACTGATGTTGGTTAGACTTTTCAGGTGTAGCTTCTGCTGTTACTAGGAGACACAATCTCATAGCAAGCTCCCTGATCCTCTGGCTCTTATGATCTTCCCATTCTTTCTTCCCCATTGTTCCCTAAGCTTTAGATGTGAGAGTGCTTTGTCGGTGTACCCACTGGGACTGGGATATACAACTCTGCATATTGATTGGTTGTGGTTCAGTAATAGTAATTCTGCAATAGTCTCCATCTGTTGCAAAGAGATGTTCCCTTGATGAGGTGTGAAGACTGTACTTACCTCTGGGTATAAGGACAAATGTTTATAGATTGTTGCTAGGAATTATACTGGTTTAGTAAATTAGTAGTTGTAGATTCTCCTTTAATAACCATGCTTTCACTAGTACTGATTGGTTAGGAAGGTTTCCCATACCAGGGCATGGTGTCCCTCTTGCTGAGTAGGTCTTTTAAGTCTAATTAGAGAGAAGTTGGTTACCACCAACATATTGTGCCACTACTGTACCCATAGGGTTATCATGCCATGCTGGTAGTTGATGTGGTTCAATGATGTCAAAGCTGGGTAGGATGTTGGTTACCTCCCTCCTTTGGAAGCTTGCATGGTGCCTTCTGGTGCCATGAAAGCTAGCCCTCAGGGAAGGGGCACTCAGGTTAGTTCCAGCTCAGGGTCCTCTGGGCCCTATTTCTGAAGGGCATGATGTCTTCAACAAGAGGGAATTACCTTCCATCTCTTGGGGGTTAACCAAGGGTGGTAGCAATATGCTGTTTGTCTTGGGAGTCTCTTAGACATCCCTGGCCAACAACTCAAGAGAAGGCTTCTCATGCCTGGAATTGGGAATTTTGTTAGATGGTCTTGGACTCTTGGAGAGGGCACCATCAGCCCAGAAGAGAAATGTTCATTAAAACTATATATGTATATTTGTATACTGAATCATGTGCATTATAGGGTTTTTTAGATAAATAGTTAGTAAATAGTGTGATTACTTGTGGCCCTTTCAGCCATCTATGCTAGTATTTTACCTCCCTCCTTCTCTTGTATTTACCTCACTCCTCCAACTGAGGAACCCCCTTTTGTGCCATTTCCCTGATCAGATTACTTATACCCCACTATTCTTTTTATCCTATGATAGTGTGTACTACTACACCTGTGTTTAGGGAAAAGTTTGATTATATGAGCATTTGTAATAGAAGAAATACAAATTCAAAGAGAAATATATAGAAAATAATATTTGATATTAGAATAAATTCAAATTTTCTAATTTTATTTATATCATTTTATACCTATTAATTATTGTATGTGCATGCATTTTATATGTGTGTCCATGCTCGTGTGTGTATGAACACATGTGCCCACACATGTGTGTGTGAAAGCCACAGGTCAATGTCAGGCATCTTCCCTTGTTTTCTTCCACCTGCAAGTCCCAGAAATCCTCCTGTCTCTGAACCCCCAGGCCTAGGATTGCAGGAACATTACCCGGATTTCTACATAGATACTGGGAATCTGAACTCAGATCATTATGCTTGGGTGGCAAACACTTTACTGACTGAGACACCCCTTCAGTACCCGATACCTGTTAACTAAAACTTATCATTAAAGGCTATGATAAAATTAGATCCTCACATACTTCTAAAGGCATTGTAAATCATGGCAACCCTTTGGGAAAGCCGTAAGGAAACCTCGAACAGAAAGCATAATGCTCATACTGCTTTGACAAAGCAGAAACACTAAGAACTGTTTGTAAAAGAATATTTATTAGGACCGCCTCGATACGCAACAAGATGAAGCAGCATATGAAAGCAGGAGAATATTTTTCAGTCGTTAAACATCATAACTATGCAGCCAGCATGGAAATGTGGGAAGACCGTGATATAAAATGGATCTCATAGAAATCGGAATAGCGTGTGTGTCATGGTAGCAACCTTATAAAAACTTATTCTAGGCAGGCATTGAACAGCAAATTTTTAAAAAGTTGTGATAGGCAACTTATGGAAGAAAGGGTTTATTTAGGGTTTATAGATTCAGAGGGTAAGTTTGTGACCATCATGCCACATGGAACATGGCAGTAGGCAGGCACGGTGCTGAGGCAGAGTTGAGAGAGCTTACGTTTTAATCCGCAATGGGGGAGGGGGCACTAACTGGGAATGACATAGGTTTTTGAGACCTCAAAACCCACCCCTAGTGACACACCTCCTCGAACAAGGCCACCCCTTTTAATGTTTCCCAAACAGTTCCACCAACTGGGAACTGAGTATTTAAACATATGAGCCTCTGAGGGTCAATTCTCATTCAAACCATCACCGACTCCAACCAGCAAGGCTGCAGGTAGATAAACTGTTCCTAGTTCAATGTGAAAGCTTTAGGGCCTGGGGCTTCCTGAAATATGGTCTTGCTTGCAGTTATTCTCAGAAAAAGAATGGACTTTGATTCAGGGAAGATTGCAAGATGCTCTGTGTCTATGGCTCTGGTCACTAAAGACAGAGCATCACTTCCCAGTGTTGTGACAACCAAAACTGTCCCCACATTCCCAAGGTGGGAGGAGGCCTTTTCTATTAGAAACATATTAAGCCATTGACACTTGTTTACCCATAAATATGTATCAAGTACCTTTCCTATGCCAGGCACTTTGCTGGCACAGGAGATGTTTTGTGGGGAGGACTAGCACTTAAAGTGTGTTACAAGGTGTGACAAATGCTTCACCAGTCCAACGTGCCGTGAGCACAAAGGGGAAAAGGCATCTACTGTCTAGAGTGTCCTAGCCAAGCTTGGTGACCTGTCATCAAGAAGTGACTCCAAGGAGAGATCCAGCATTGCTGCTCAGGAGGTCCCTCTTGCCTTGTCCCACATCTCCATCATGCTCTGCTGTGGATATCGCTATTTGTAAATAAACCTGATTGGCCGATAGCCAGACAGGAAGTATAGGCGGGACTAACAGAGAGGAGAATTGAGGAAGGAGGAAGGAGAGGAGAGATGGCCTGGAGCCGCTGCCAGGACAAGCAAGATGTAAGGTACCAGTAAGCCACGAGGCACGTGGCAAAGTAAAGATTAATAGAAATGGGCTGAATATAAGAGTGAGAGCTAGACAATGATAGGCCTGAGCTAATGGCCAAGCAGTTTAAATAATGTAAGAGTCTGTGTGTTTATTTTATAAGTGGTCTCTGGGACTGGCGGGACTTGGGAGCTAGAGAGAAATTCTACAGCTACAATGCTCACATTTAAGGCCCTTGCTAGACCTCCATGAAAGCAAAGTTGATCCCATGAAAGATGACTGTCACAAAGGTCAAGTGTATCAGTCCCACCTAGCTCAGAGTTGTTTCTTGGGAAAACATGGTGGTGTTCTTTCACCTTGAGAGATGTAGCAGAGATTCACGTTTGGTCTAATTTGTGTTCTGAGCTGAGGACTGGCCATGTCTGAAAATATCCAATGGCCTGGTGGAGTGGGTTGTCTACCAGCATCTGTTTTGAAGTTGGTTTCCCTGGAATGTCATCTGAGTCCCGTGGAGAGAAAGATTGTTTGCCGGGGCCAGGAAGACTGTCCTCCCTGGGGCTCTGTGAGACAGAAGGGCTCAAGCAGTGTGTACCCAGGTACCAGGGTGAGGCCCCAAAACAGGGACCGACGAAGAGAGGATTGGGGCAGGAAATATTCCTTTCACCTCTGCTGTCCTTTGCTCCCTGAACTGCTCTGTCCCCTGAGGCATGGACAGGGACCTCACTGGCAGAAATGAAGTGGGGAGAGGCACTCTTTTGCGTGGTTTCAGGAGTGAGAAACCTTATCCACATGGATTGTAACAAAAGGAAAACAGGCAAAGGTTTAGTAAACATAGGTGAGGTGGCTCCTGCCTTCTGAGATTTCAGACTGGCTGGTGGCATGGACACCTGAAATATGATTTTTATTCCTGTTAATGTGATTTCATTTATACCCACAACCCAGGAAAGCTTCGGTTACTGTTATTCACCACAATAAGAACTCCTGTCAGTATGGCATTAGTGGAGACTGTGCTGTCTGGAGGCCAGCTCCCAGCATGCATTGCCTCACCCTCCCACCCCAAGGCTTGAGATTGGCTGTGACAGAAAGGCATTAGCACAGAATCCCACTGCCATGGAAACCTGAGTTTGGGATGGCCTGCCTTTCAGTGGACAAAGACAGGAGAGAGCAGTTTCCTCAAAACCATTTTATTTTTAGAAAAGCACAGAGTTTGCTGAATGTTCTGGAACCTGGACATGTGACTATATCTGACTCTTCATTTCTGCAAGGTTCAGGCGTTCAGAGATTCGGGCCCCGCCCCGCCCATAGTACCAGCATGGGGTGGGAGTAGAGTCTTCATTCCTGAGGCCTTCCCAGCTTAGAGAAGGGAAGGATGCTTCGCAGATGAGCGCTGGGGCCGATGAGGTGACTGATAAACTTTCGGTTCCCCTCCGAGCAATGGGCTTTTCCTACAACAGCCAATACAGTGACCGTAAGTCCTATCCCACATGCACTTCGTACAAGGCCACTCTGGCTTTGTACCCCGGAAGTGGTGGGTGTATTGCCTATCCCTTGGAGCCTGTGTGCACCGTTGTGGTGGCTTGACATATAAAGTACAAAGCACAGAGGTGACACTAGGTGACTTCTAAGCCCTGGATATCAAGTGTCTCGCTGTTCTATCTTGGGGTCTCTGAAGACCAGCTCTGAGAATTGTCCTGGTGACCCAGCATGGAAAGGGAGGCTCCCAGCCCCAGTGCAGATGAACCCCCTGACAGTAACTGGCCACTACCTGTCAGCCCTCTGAGTGGGGAGTCCTACAGGGCTCCCCAGTTTCTTTCTTCTGCCCAGAGGCCACAATGTCTGTCCTATAGTCTAGAAGGTCCACCATGCTCGGTGTTATTATTTTCCTCTATCATAAAGTAGGGTTAGTTGCTTTCCAGCCCTACTGGTCTCTGCTTCAGAAATTGTCAGCAACTGTTTACACACACACACACACACACACACACACACACACACACACACACTAATTCGCTGATTTTGTTAATTCTGGCTTTTCTTAAGACAGCTGCAGAATTTTAGGGCTGCGCCATGACTTTGGTGTCCATATTCTGGGTGAGTGGCTTTCTAAATCATTAAAGCCCTAAAAAGGGACTTTTCTCTAAGCACACTGTAGGCCAGGAGTACAAAATGGTCCCCCCTGTGGCCTGATGGGTCACACTGCAGGGAGATGAACAGAAGAGCTGGGATTGCTGACCGGGCATCCTAGGGTCCTCTTTCCCACTCATGTAATGTGGTCCTGAGCAAGATGTGCCCTTGTCTTGGTCTCATTTAAAACAAAGGCCTCTTCTCCGTGATTTCTTCCATTTTAAGTCGAAGCCAGCACTGGCTGCTGTTACACTAATTTCACTTATTCTCACCTCATTTCAAAACCACGTTATGCTCCCCGCCGCATTCCCACCAGCCATTTTCTTCTCCAACCTGTAAGCTTCCTGCAGAGAGAGGACAATGGGCAAGTTAAGTGAGAGAGATGATTTACAAGGCTTTCTTCTTTTCTGCTCTAATTTACAGGAAAATCATCCTTGCATGGGAAGACAAGGCAAAGCCACACATCACCGAAGGATTCGGAGTGATGGAAAAGAAAATGGAAAAATGGGATAGAGTTTATATTCGTAATACCAAATAGATCTGAGAGTCATTTCTCACTCGTTCCTCAGATATTAGGATAAATGCCCTTTTGTAACTGAAAAAAAAAAAATTGCCTTTAGTTCAGACAATACTTTCTTTTTATTCTTTTGCAAAAATTAATTCGTCTATCTGTTTCAGCTAGGATTATATTCTGCTACATAAAATAGAAAATCCGAAAGAAAAGAAAAGAAAAACCTCTGTTGAGAGGTTTAAAGCCACACCGGTCTATTCTTTCATGTAAAAGACATCCGGAAATGAGCAGTCCGGGGCGGGGAGGGCAGCACTACAAAGACGCCAGGAACCGGGACAGCTCACATCTTTTCTGCTTTACCATTCTTAGCACATAGACTCCACCCTCGCTTGGCTGCCGGGGCTCCAGCATCTTGTCTCGGGTCCTGGCAACCAGAAGAGGAAAACACACAGCATCCCGCTGAGGCGGAACCCCTGAAGAATGCCCCTGGAAACCCTTCACAAAGGTGCTGCTTACACCTGCATGGCCAGTGCCTGGTCACCTGATCAGTCCTGGCTGCCTAGGAAGCGAGACAAATTAGCATCTGCTAAGGTTCAGACGTGGCCTGAGTGTGTCCTTCAAAGATTTAAGTGTCAAAGGCAGATCGCCTGTGTGGTCAGGTTGAGGCCCGTGGACCATTTAAGACAGTAGTTCTCTACCTTCCTAATGCTACCACACTTTAATGCACTTCCTCGTGTTGTGGTGACCTCCCCCCCACCATGAAATTATTTCATTACTACTTCATAACTGTAATTTTGCTACTGTTATGAATCCTAATGTAAATATCTGATATGTGACCCCCATGGGGCCGCAACCCCCAAGTTGAGAACTACTTATTTAAGAGGTTCAGGCCCCACCCTCCGAAGAGATGAAAGTCAATCTCCCCAGTGAGTGGGTTACAAGGGGTTTAGTTCACAGAGTAGGCTGTTCTCAAAGCAAGCCTGGACACTACCCCATCTCCTGCTTGTTGTCACGTGATCCTCCTCTCTTCTCCTCCCTCTTCCTTTGAGTCTCTTACATGTACTTCTGCAACATGATGTCATCCACTCAGCTGTGACCCATCAAGATGGCTCTCACAAGAAACTGACCAGATAGGGTCACCTGGTCTTGGATTCTTATGCTCCGTAGCTATAAGCCTAACAACCTTCTTTTCTTTATAAAGTGCTCTGCTGTGGGATGTCCTGTATGCTATTCCTATGATTGATTGATAAATAAAACACTGATTGGTCAGTAGCCAAGCAGGAAGGATAGTGTAGGTGGGACAAGGAGGAGGAGAATGCTGGGAGGTGGAAGGCTGAGAGAGGGAGATGATGCCAGCCGCGTGCATGATGAGAAACAACATGTAAAGACACCGGTAAGCCATGAGTCAGGTGGCAACTTATAGATTAATAGAAATGGGCTAATTTAAGATATAAGAACAGCTAACAAGAAGCCTGAGCCATTAGGCCATACAGTTTATAAGTAATATAAGTCTCTGTGTGTTTGATTGGGTCTAGCAGCTGTGGGACTGGCGGGTGAGAGAGATTTGTCCTGACCGTGGGCCAGGCAGGACCAGGAAAACATCTGCTACAGTGCTCAGCCTCCAGTGTTTTGTTATAACACAAAGTGGACAAAGCAACATCATAGTCCATAGAGGCCTTTTCTCCTATTTCCTTGAGAATTTACTATCAATATTACATAATCTAAGCTCTACCTAGAACTCTCATCTATTATTGTGAGTTCTCTGAACAAGTACAGCTCTTTACTTGAGATATAAACCCCTTGGGTAAATATTGACCCGAGACAAGATGCTGGAGCCCCAGCAGCCAAGCAAGGGTGGAGTCTATGTGCTAAGAATGGTAAAAAAAAATTTTTAAAAATTACCAAATTACTTTTACTGTATCATTCTTAACTCTTGGTATGGGGCTGCAAAACATTGCCATATCCCAAAATGACGAAGGTTCTAGTTCTCATGATAAGAAGGAGAATAGATGTTAGAAATTGCCAATCTGTTCGTATTTTAAATGCCCCAGAAAGTGTCATGGGTGAAAGGCCTATTCCCCAGCTGATGAGCCTATGAAAGCTGGTAGGACCTTTAAGTGAGGTAAATGAGAAAGAACCCTTGAAGGGGTATTGGGACCTCAGCCTCTCCTCCTCTCCCTCTGCTTCCCATTTACTTGCAATAAAGAGGTTTGCTCTATATGTGTTCCATAGGCCCAAAAGCAATGGAGCCAGCCTACCACAGTAGACCCCTCCAAAACCCTGAGCCAGAACGTACCTTTCTTCTTTTTAACTTATTTATCTCAGGCATTTTGTCACAGCAACTCGAAACTAACACAGTCTGGGATAACATCATCAATACCTGATGGCTGATGTGTAATATATGCATATTTTTGTGCAAAGGAAGGATTTTTTTAAGTGTTTCCTCTGCCCTCATTCCAAAACAAGATCTAACGAGAGTATGGCACATGATGACCACCCTCAGTGAATTTACAATTTTAGCAACAAACTATACCTGCTCGTAGAACACAAAACAGTAAAAGGGGAATGAAGTTGGGCTTCAAATTAGTGCAGACCATAGAACTAGAGGGAGCTGAAAGGGGTAATTTTGAGAGCTGGGATCAATGTTTCATAGAACAAAATAGAACCTGTGATGGGGATTGGAAAATAAGATGTGCCAGTATGATATGACCACCCAGCTGGGACACAGGATGCCCAGATAATTTGGTTAAGCATTATTCTAGATATGTCCACCTGGCTGTAGCTCTATGACATTAATATCTACACTGGGCTAGGGAGAGTTGACTTCCCTCCTGGATGTTAGCATGTCCCATTGGAAACATGAAGAGAAGAGGAACGCAGAGAAGAAAGGAATCGTGGATCCAAGCTGCTCTTTGACGCCTGGGGTTGGACTTGAGCCGGCAACATGCTGGCAGGTCTCCTGGCTTTCCAAGGTACCACCTTTGAGTCTGGGGACATCCAATCCCTCATAATTGTGTGAGCCAGTTCCCTGTGGTAGATTTCTTTCCATTACTTCCTTTCATCTCCCTGTATATCAGCTATCACTTCTTTTCCTCTAGAAAAAGCTAACACAATAAGTGTGAAAGAGAAAATTTGGCATGCTGAGCATCTCCTAAGCCCCAAGCCCAGTGACAAACACAGGGATGGAAATGAGAGCTGGGTCTCCATTTCAGACCCAACTCATGGGCTACTAAAGGAGAGGAGAGGAGACAACTTAAAATGCCAGCCTGTAGCAGGGCTACCATGGAAGGACACATAGTGTTCTTGAGACACAGGGGGTATCATGACTCAACTAGAGGTGACAGCAGTTTCATAAGGTTTCTCAAAGGAAAGGTGGTGGCAGTGGGGATGTGTAGACAAGGCTTGAAGGGAGTATCTGAATTTTATTCTTGCTTTTGTTGAAGAGACATGTGTATATTTTAAAGCTGAGAATAGAGTACTAATAATGGAGACATCAAGATTACTAGGAAAAGGGAGGATGGTTGGTAAAAGCAGAAAGCAGGAGAAGAAACTTGATGCACATGGGACAAATTCAGTCTTTGCTCAGAATGGGGATAGGACCCTGGGGCAAAGAGCTCACTGCCAACAAGGTGCTTCTGTTCAGCAATCCTAGATCCCAAGCATGGGAAAGCAGAATGGGGATAGGACCCTGGGGCTAAGAGCTCATCACTAACAGGGCCCCTTAAGGTGCCTCTATTCAGCAATCCTAGATCCCAAGCATGGGAAAGCAGGCTCAAAATAGGAAAATTAACCTTCCTAAGGAACAAAGCTACTGGATGCATCACTAGAGTCTCGTGCTCTACAGGCATCTGATCTGACCTTGAAGAAACTCTCCAGGCAGCAGGGCCCAGTGGGAGACCCCACAAGGATCTGCCTGGTCACCTCTTCCTCCTTACTCTTTCCTCTAACATCCCACATCCACTGTCCACTTGGTGTTCAACTCTTCCCACCTCTCCCTCCTCATACGGCTCACTGAAGTCTCACAGAGCCAGAGGTCATCCTTTCAATGTCCCATGTGTGAGTCTGTTTTGTGTCAAGCATTTGTCACCCCTGTGATGAGTGAAACAATCCCTTCTAGGTCCCAAGACCCTGGTCACAGCTACCTGGAACGTTGCTCTCCCAGATGGGACACCCAGGGATTCAAGTGTCTTGTGGATGCCTGGAAGTAGACCTGGAGGATCCTTCTGGCTGTTGGCCAGTCCCACATAGCCATTCTGCAACAGAGTATAGGAGATTAGGGTCATAAAGGGTCTGAGCATATTCCAAGGACACAATTCAGGCTGAGCAGCTTTGATTTGTATGATTTATAATAAATGCAGTAAGAGCACCATTTATCTCCAATACTCCAGTAAGATTATTAACTTTTTTCTTTCAAAGATAAACTTGATTGCATTACTTATTTATACTATGTACATTACATTAGATATAAAAAAAAATGCATTGGGGTAAAAATATCATATACAGTTTTTTTTAATTAGTGCCTTTTATCCACTGCTACTAAGAGCTTAGATTATTAGAAAGGAAGGGTCTTGATACACAGCTCACCACAGATCTGGGTATTGCTTGTTTCCCACTGCACATTTTGCTAAACCCGACAGACAATCTAGAAATACCATCTCTGCTCACTCTCAATTCCTCATTTTTGTATCAGAGTTTGAGTTTTTGTGTTGGAATCTATGACTTATCAGGAGGAGCAGCATGAGGCAGACATGGAACTGTGTGTGTTTAAGTTTAAAATCTGAGTACAAATATGGCTTTTGCAAGCTGGGGGTGGGGTTTACAATTAAAAACAAAACTATCATTATAGTTTTCAAAAAATGTAAATAGGGATGATGAATAAATTTACTAGATGGTTATTAAGAGCGATCAGTATGCTAAACACTTTATGGTATTATTACATTCAGTCTTGACAACAATCCTCTGAAATAGCTATTATTTTCTCCATTTTACAGATGAACCAATTGAGACTTAGGTGAACTAAAGTATCCGTGAATAAATAAATAAGCTAAAGGTTAACACTATGGACTTGATTGTAAAGATTCCTTCATAGTCATCATCCAAAACTGCCTTCATGTAGAACCCTAATTCTAGCCCTTGGAAATTCACCTAGAGAGGGGGGAAATGTCCAAATCAAGACAAAGAAACTCATGTTAGGAAAATGTCCCACATTCCAAGAAGGCCAGAACCGTTCAATTGTACAGCCTTATCTTACAGTGTTCCCTCATTCTGGCTGTCTTGCCTTTAGCTGTTGTTATTATTGCTGTCGTTTTCTTTACCTTTTAAAATTTGAAAACTTTGTTTTTAATTAGTAGATAGTAATTGTACCTATCTATAATCTTCTCTGCTAGCTATTTTGATGTGTCTGATGTAATAGCTGGAATGCATGCAGGTCTGTCCCCCAGCCCAATCCACTCTAGTTCTTTAAAGGACACTGCC